CGAGCCCGAGCCAACGGCGCGGCGCTCCCCGCCTCGTGTGCGGTGTCTGTGACCGACGCCTGGAAAGCGAGGGGCGGGGGGCCCCAGCGGGGTCAGCCAGGGGGGCCCAGTGGGCGGCCCCCGAGGCTCCGGGGCGAGTAGACCCCGGCGAGGTGCTCTGGGGGCGGACGGGCACCCCAGCCCGCCCGGCCACCCAGCTAGAGCTTGTGACCCCAGACGCCTTGGGCCCCGGGCCCAGGGTCCCCGAGACGCCTCGGGGCTGCGGGGCTCCCGGAAGGGCCTCTGCCTCCTTGCTTCTAACTCAGCGCCAGAAAGGAGCCGCAGAGCAAAGGAGAAGGCGGTACCCGGCTGCCAGCCGCCGCGGGCCTCCGGCCCATTTCCCCGGGGCCAGGCGCAGGCCCGGGAGGGAAGCAGCCCACCCAGACTAGGCCGAGGACGCTCACTCGGAGCCTGCCCGCCCGGCTCTGGCAAAACTGGGCGCCCTGCTCTCTCCCCCAGCTACATCCGCTACTCCCAGATCTGCGCCAAGGCCGTGCGGGATGCCCTGAAGACGGAGTTCAGAGCCAGCGCCGAGAAGACCTCCGGCAGCAGCGTGAAGATCGTGAAAGTGAAAAAGGAGTAGCCGAAGGTGAGCGGTGGTGGCCGGGTCACGGTCGGCCGCGTGACCGTCAGCCGCATGTGCGATGGGCCGCTGGGGCCGGCAGAGCGCCTCTGACTTGAATTCAACCCGTTCTGTTCGCACAATCTCAAATGATTTGGGGGCTCGACCCCCACTTTTGTCATTGCTGTGGGAGGTACAGAAGAGCTCGGGGCGCGAGACCTCTGCGGGCCTCTGCTGAGCCCAGGGCGCTGCGGTGTGGCTCGGCTGGCCTCCGCGGGCTCTGGGAACGGAGAGCGCTCCGTGCTCGTTTCAGCCTGGGCGCTGCGGGGTCGAGGGCGGCGGTCTCTGCCCCAGTCGCTTGACACAGTTCTGCAGCCATAAGCAGAGCAGATTACCAGGAAGACGCTGCTCGGATTTAATTTTCTTGTTTTGCTTTCACAGCCCTGCCGCGGCAGGGAGCGTGATGAATATTAAGCCTCCGGCCGCTTGCGGTTATGAGCAGTCTCCTGGCGCTGTGCCCCGAGCGCTTTCCATTTTCATTCTGAATTAGTGAATATTTTACCCCAGTCTGGAGCTGTGGTGCTTCAAATTTAGCCCTGTTCCAGGGGCTCCGTCTGATTTCCTAATTCCTGGGAATGGCCCTGCTTTCTGTCGGGTTGTTTTGTTTTAACGATGAGCAGAGAAAGTCACAGAGCCCAGCAGCTGATTGCCCCGAGCGGGTGCCCTGGGGTCAGGAAGCTGCACCTGCAGGGTGCAGTCCCCCATCAGCCCTGCGGCCGTGGAGAACCTCAGAGGTGCAGTGGCTGGCTGCTGGGCCGGACCTCTGTTAGCACCCGCCCGCCTCACCGCACGCATGAGCCCCACAGCGCGCGCCGTGGCCCCCGTGGCTACACTGGCCGCCCTCGGTGGCGCTCCTGAAGACTCCCCCGGTGTTCTTCTTTCCTCCTAGACCCGGACTGGAGCTGGCGATGCCCAGTGGCGAGGTGAAGATGTGGGGGCTGATGGACGACCGTCTCACTTCCAAAAAACACACCCGCCCTGCTGGTAGATCGCAATGTCAATAAATTGAAACCTGCATCCCTCTTGCTGGTGGTCTGTCGCGGGACTCGGCTGAGCTGTGGGCGCCAGGCAGGTCCTGTGCACGCGCTGGGCAGCGCTGTCCGGCCAGTGTCGGGGGCACGAAACTCTGGAAGCCTCGGTCTCTGCGCTAGTGTGGTCAGGCGCCCTGCGGGGTGGCGGGTGCCGGTGTGTGCGTGCTCGCCTCGGGCCAGCTGAGTCCTGGCCCTCGGGGCTCCGGGGCTGCGGGCGTCTGGTACCATCCAGACCCGTCCTAAGGCTGGGTGCCGATCCGAGCTGCTTGGGAGAACGGGGAAATTAATCGGAAGGTGAAATCCTGAGGCCCTCAGCTTCCGCCCGTGACCACCCTGGCCGCAGCCCTCAAGCTGGGCCCCTCAGCCGCGCCGCCCAGGGCTTCCGGCCCCAGCGCCTGACCCGAGGGCCTGGTTTTGTCCCGCACTGAGGCTGGCGGCCCACGGCTCTGTCAGTCGCTCTGGTTCCCAGATAGGGGCCCAGGACGCGTCTTCAGGAGCAGGTCGCGAGGCTGTCGGATGAAGGGGCCGGCAGGCAGGGAGCGGCTGTTCCAGGCCAGCAGCAGTCAGTCACGAGGGGGCAGGTGGGAAATGGGGGCGAGCGTGGGGGGACTGGTGGCGGGGGGCACCCACCCGGCGGGAAGACAAAGATGGGTCTGCTGCCGTGATGAACTTCCTGCGGCCAAGGGCCGGCAGGACCCCGGGGTCCAGGCTGCCAGAGGCGCTGGGCGCCGCACTGGCGACTGGCTGACTTTCGTGCGCTGCTCGCTCGCCCGTGGGCTGCTGGGGTGGTGGGACCCTGTGTGTGCCCCCAGCAGCGGCAGGCCGGAGGCTCGGCCCTCTGGCGGGCCGCTTGTGCCGCTTCCCGTGCCTTGTTTTCCTCCATTTCTACCCCCGAGATAGAGATGGGGCGGTAACGCGTTCTGAAGCGTCGTAACGGCTCCAATTAATCAGTCTGGGTGGTTAGGCTCTGAAGGAAAGGGATTTATTTAGTCTGCAATAGAACGATTTAGCTCTTCAAAATTGAGTTTGTCTGTCATTTAATGATCACTATCGAGAAAACAAAACCCTTTACGGGAATGTAGACCAGCGGAAGTTGGATTGGTTCATCTTTTTAAATTTAGATTTGTGTCCTTGCTTGTGTCTCTGAAGCCTGTTGAGGCGGGAGGAGAATGTGCTGGAGGAAGACACGCGTGAGCTTACAGATGGGTCACAGGCCCCGAGCTTGCGAGGTGCAGGCCTCCAGGGTGAGGAGCTGCACGCTCAGTGCAAGCGCCGTTTCTGAGGCCTCTTGGTTTTTAGGGCTCTGGCACCCCAAAGTCGTGGGCCGGAGGCCGGTCACGGAGCCCACACCTCGCGCCTCTGCCTCCCTGGGCAGTGCGGGCTTCTGGAGCGAGCCACCTGCGCCCGAGGCCACGGGCAGAGCAGGCCACGCTCGGCCTGCAGCGCCGGGCTGCCAGAGCAGGGGCCGCAGCCACGGGGCTCGGCGCAGCCGGTGGCGCATTTGCCCTGTCGTGTGGCCTGCGAGAGCAACATTCAGGGCGACCTGCGGGGGTGGGGGGCCGAGTCCCACGGGGGAGGCTAGGGGCGGTAGGGGCAGTGTGGCCAGCCTCCGAGGTGACGAGTGGAAGGGCGCCCAGGTGGCCTCTAAGGGACCTGCCCGTGAGCAGGAGCCAGCGCGGCCGCCCCTCCGCGGCGCTGCGGAACCGCCAGGGGCTGGGGAGGTGGGGGTCGGGCGTGCGGCCTTCGGTGGTCTGCTCGTTGGGGGTTGGGCCGGGTAGTCCCGTGGGGAGGATGGTCACTTCTCCCTCCGTCCCCACTGAGCGGGTGAAGACGAGCCCGCGGGCGCCCCTGCGGAGCAACCCCGCCCCCCGCCCCCCACGCTGGCGCTGCTGCAGACACACGTGGCCGC